CTCTCATTGCCACTTGGAATTCTTCCCTCAGTACCTTTTTCATAGTTAAAAAAAAATAGCTTAATGATGTTTCCGGTTTTACTTTCTAACTATGTCTGTCCATCTATATATCTATCTGTCTTTTGATTTTGTTGTTGTTTGGTACCACTGAGTTGACTTGGGCTTAAAGTAACCTATCAGCAAGAGATTGGAGCCTTGCCTTAACCCATGACAACCTTACAATCTCAGCCATGCTCAAGCTGTTTGTTAAAGTCACTGTGTCAATCTGTCTTGGTGAGATCTTTTTCTCTTTCCCTTACCTCTGTTTTTCCAAGCAGGGAGGGGTGGTGGAGGTGGGAAAAGAACAGAAATCAATCAATCAAGTGTAAATGAGGAAACCATTATAGAAAAATCAATGAAACCAAGCACTGATTCTTTGAAAAGATCAATACAAAGACTACTTTAGGTAGACTAACGAGAGAGAAAGAGAATAGAAGAAACAAATAACTGTTGTAAAGAATAAAAGAGTTCATATAAACCATGTGGTTATCAAGTAGATATGGAGAAAAAATTGAGTGGTTTTCTGGAGTTAAGAATCTTGAGGAGGAGGAAAGCGAATGCCATTTTAAAGGCGTAGAGATCTTAGAGCAATCATAGGAAGAGTAATGATGCATTCCAGGGACTAAGGCATGTACGATCTAGGTTATGGTCTTTGCAGTTACTTGCTGTACATCAGACAGCTAGACAGTGACTACAGATAACAGAGACGAACTGATGTCTTTGAATATGGAGAAGAGTCTTGAACATACCATGGACCGACAAGAAAGCAAACAAGTCTATTCTGGAGAGGGTGACTCCAAGCTGTTCCTTGAAGACAACAATTATGAAGTGCTGTCTCACATAATTTGAGCATGTGGTCGGGAGGGAACAGTCCTTGGAGAACGACATCATGCTTAGAAAGGCAGAGGGACAGCATAGGAGAAAAATACCCTAGATGAGATGGACTGACACAGTAACTGGGATTATAGGGATAGGTGTGCTAGAGTCGGTGGGACTGCCTTGGGAGAGAGCAGTCTTCAGAGCTATAGTCTTCATAGCATCCCTGTGAGTCAGTGGCACATAACAACAAACAACAATCACATGAAGTTTTAATACATTTATTATCCTCTCAGCTAAATGCTGGAGCTGGAATTTTGAGTCCATATGTTATGTTTCTAAAGTTTGCTCTTTTAAACATTCTACAGTATAGCTTCTTTAAGAGTACAGTTTCAGGAGTTCTGTTGGCCTAGTAGGTAAGGAATGCCATTGCCAAATGAAAGGCAGTTGTTCAAATCTACCAGCTGCTCTCTGGGGCCAAAAATCGTCATTCTCTTGTGCGATTTCAGCCTCTGAAAACCCACTGGAAATGAATTTGAGTTTGTAGCTTTGCTTTGTTTTCTATAAAAGAATACTGCTTTAAAATCTTGTTTAGAAGTTTATTTCCCTGAATTTCAGTCCTCAAATCATGGTTCCTTTTGTTCAAAGTATTCAGGATGGGTGTTCATCTTCTGTAAAGATCCAGTAAATCTTAATATTATCATATGTTGTTGAAAGTAGAATTTGTATCATCCAGTAACTAATTCATGCCTTTCTATTTTTGTGCCATTTCATTCTACTTCTTAGTAATTTGATTCAGGGAAGGACTCAGGCTAAGACATATAAACAGTGGCTCCAGATATTTGAAGAGAGGAGTGTAAAATTGAGAACAGTATCAGATCTTCCTTTGCCTTCTCCAAATTATTGAAGAACAGTGATGTCAGTTTGGAGACTAAGATGCTTCTGATTCAGATCATGGTCTTTTCAAAAACTTGCTATACGTCTAAAAGCTAGACAGTGAATCAGGATGACAGAGAAGAATTGATGCCTTTGAACAGTGGTGTTGGAGTACTAAATATCCCATGGATTGCCAAAAGAACAAACAGATATGTCTTGGAGAAAGTGCAGCCAGAATGCCCCTTGGAGGCAAGGAAAGCAAAATGTCGTCTTAAATACTTTGGGCATGTTGCTAGGAGAATCTGTTCCTTGGAGAGGAACTTCATGTTTGAGGGTCAATTGGAGGGTCAGCAAAAGAGGGGAAGACTTTGAAGGAGATGGATTGACACAGTGACTGCAGAAATGGACTCAAGTGTGTCAGAGATGAGGAGGATGGCACGGGATAGGATAAGATTCAGATCTATTGTTCATAGGGTCAGTATGAATTGTACTCGACTTGATGACACCTAACAATGTCATTGATAAATAAACTTGGGGGAAAAGAAAAATACACACATACACACACCCCAATCATTCAATCTGGGGTGGAGCTCCCCAATTAAAACAAGCTTGGAAGGAGGAGTGGCATCCACTTCCATAACATAATAGCTTGCCTCTGGAAAACCTATGAACCTGGAGAGAGGATGAAAGACACCCAAGTGTCGAAGACTCTCCTTCCTAGGGTCGCTATCAGTTGCCTGCGACTTGACGGCACTTAACAACAACAACATTATATATACATTTCAATATAGAACCACAGATTTAAATTGAAGAGTCAAGGCAGCCTTTTGCTCAAGTGGGAGATTATAAAGTGACTAACCTGGTGGTTTGGGACTATTTAATAGAAGGCGGTGGTGTTTGTTTTGCATTTTTCTATAGACAGAAAATAACTGACCACTTTCTAGGACATTTTAATAAAATATTTCATGAGGAGTCTATTTTTAATAGACTACTTGGATTATAACACATTATGGCTAACATTGAGAAGAATGGGAATTCTAGAAAAATTAATTCAACAAACACAGAAAGGGACATTGTTTGATTTAAAATGAGGAAAGGTGTGCATCAGGGTTATATCCTTTCTCCATATCAATCGAATCTGTATTCTGAGCACATTATTCCAGAAGCTGGACTCTGTGAAGAAGCATGTGGCATCAGTATTGGAGGAAGACTCATCCACAGCCTTTGCCATGTGGATGACACAACTTTGCTTGTTGAAAATGAGGGGAACTTCAAGCACTTGCTACAGAAAGTTAAACAGTGCAGCCTTTCATATTGATTGCATCTCAACATCAAGAAAAAATTCTCCCCTCTGGATTTATAAGCAGCCTTCTAATAGATGGCGGAAAGATTAAGACTGTCAACAACTGTGCTGACTTGGACCACAATCAGTATACTCTGTACTAGCAGCTAGAAGATCAGGAGATATATTACACTAGGAAAGTCTGTAGTCACGGACCGCTCCAGATTATTGAGGAGCAATGGTGTCAGTTTGAGGACCAAGGTGTGGCCTGGTTCAAGCCATGAACTTTTCAGTCCCTTGCTGTGCATCTGAGAGATGGATGGTGAACAAGTATAACAGAAGAAGAATTGATGCCTTTGATGGTGGAATTGGAGAAGAGCACTGAATATTCCACAGACTGAACAGATATACGTCTTGGAGAAGGTGCAGCCAGAGTGCTCCTTGGAGGCAAAGATAACGAAACTTCATCTCGCGTATTCACGCATGTTGCTAGGAAAGGTTATTTCTTGAAGATCCTGGATGAATGGAGGGACAGCGAAGGACGGGAAGATCTTTAACCAGGTGCACTGACACTGTGACAGCAGTAGTCGGCTTGAGTATACCAGAGATTGTGTGAGGATGGCACCGACTAGAACAGCGTTCAGATCTTGTTCATACAGTCGCTAGGAGTCATGTTCTGCTCAGCAGCACCTAACAAAAACATCTAAATTTAAACTGCCCATAGTCTTAAAGACACAATTATGTGTGTATATATGCAGTACTACAAAATATGTTATCAGAAGCTGCTAATACAGAATTGAGTGAATAATATACCCAATAAATTTGTCTGATATTTGATATTCTTTACTAATAAATTGATATAATTCAGTGCCTATAGTGTTCTAGAAACGCATGTGTGTGAAACAGGATATTGAGCATATGTTATTGGCTGAGTCTTTCCAGAGCACTTCCTACTTATCTCAGTGCAGCTTAAATACCATAAATACCCTTTGATTGGTCTTCAAGCATATACACAGCACTTTTAGATGACATTTTCAAATCTGATTTACTCAGCAACACGTGGGCATAATAAGTTGCTGGTTGTGATCGTCTAAGGGCCAGTCAAGTGCATTGCCAGTCGGAACATTCGGGTTGGCTGCTGCTTCCCTGTAGCTCTACAGTCTGCGTCGCTGGACTGCTGAGACGTCATTGGATGTCATCTCAGAGCGTGCATTATAGTGTTGACTCTTGTGGAGGACTAGGACTTGAAGTGCCCCATACAACAAGGGAGACAGCAATCCCTGTTGCTTTGATGATAAAGGGCTGTGTGCACATGTGTACGTGTGTGCATATGCGGGCATGCACATACATATATGGTAACGTTTGATAGTGGGGTTCCCCCCCCCTCCGTTTTTTAGTTACTAGAAGAATATATGTATCTTCTGAAGTTTTTTTATTACATTTAAGCAAATGTTAAAAGGTGTAAATTGCCACTTAATACACCCTTCCTGTTGGTCCTATTCAGGATTTAAGCTATGGAAAGATTAGAGGCCTTTGCTCTTAACCATTTCTTGGGACATTGGTGGTTTGGGGTTTTTTTAATTATTGATAAAAAACACCCACTCCTGACGAGTTGATTCCAACTCATAGTGATCCTCCACCAGGGTGATTTCCAAGGCTGTAAATCTTCTCTTGACGAAACTGCCCATCTTTCTCTTATGAAACAGCTGTTGGATTCAAACTGCTGACCTTTCAATGAGTAGAGCAAAATACTCCTTAATCAGATGATGTTCCCTTTGAAATTCTGATTTCTCTCTTCCACCCAGCCACCCCTTAACATATACACAAACTCATGGACATATGTGCACCTTTAACAGACACACCTGCAACAAAGTTTTCCATCCCTTTGCATACAATTTCTGGAATTTTGTAACTTCTCCTAGTTCCGAGTTTAATATTTCTGCCCGGAGTGCCTAGGATTTTTGTTTATAGGAATTAAAGAAATGAGATTCTATTAACAGAATTATATATTTTTCCCTATGGTGCTGTTCCCAGAGCATGAGCAGCAGAGAGACCACCTTCCTCATCCAGGAACAGCCAAGGGTAAGCGGCTCTCCACTTCCTTGCATGAGCGCAAATGGGTGTCTCCCTAGAGTATGCAATGGCGATGCTGTTTTTCCCAGTTCATAGATATTTTTCAGCTTCTCATACTTAGTATTTAATTAGGATGTGGTTTTGCTTTTTTTAAAAGTAGCATCAGATGCAATTTGAGAACAATATAGGCAGAATAGCCCTTTGCTTATGTTTTCATTTCCTAGTTTCTATGGACTTTCGTGACTTGCCCAAAGTTAACAAAGATTAAGGGGCAGATTGTGGACTAAAATTCCAGTTTCCGAGACCTAGTTCAATATTCTTTTTCCTTTACATGGCTCTTTCCACCTACAAATGCTTACCTAGAATAATCATGAAAGAGATAAGATTAATTTAAAAATCAAATTTTAATACAAATTAAGAAGATGATGAAGAGCTCAAGATATTTACCGTTAGTTTCATAGTAATTAGAGATATTTACTTTTCCCATGCTTGTTATAGACTAGCGTTACATCCTTCTGCTGAAAACTTCAATCAACATAAATGATCTTTGGTTTTCACTAGATTACTAATTTTTAATGTTCTTATGAGAAGGTTGTGGGATTAGAAGATTGTAATAAATAAAGTTATGTTAATTTTATTTATTTCTGTTCTAATGACTTAAAACATTTAAATGATTACCAAGTTGAAAATCATAGACTGAATATGGTTTTTTTAAAATGAAGCTGATAACAATTTTAGTAACCCTCTTTAAGAAAATAATAAAAAAAACCCCTTGATTTGAAATTTTACAGAAATATTTGAACTTAATTAAAGATTGCAAGTTATTATTAGGTGCTGTTAGTGGGCCACAACCCATAGCAACTTTAGGACGTACAGATCTTGACCTATTTATTATTCTGTGCCATCCTTATAATCTCTACCATGCTTAATCAAGCCCATTGTTGCAGTCACTACATCAGTCCATCTCTTTGAGGGCATTCATCTCTTTCTCTGTCCCTCTGCCTTTCCTAGCAGAGTTTCATCTGAACCAGTGAAAGAGTTCAGTGGAAATAATAGGTGCTAAAGCTTAGATTCTGTTAACTTGAAAGGAAATCCATCTGAGGTTGACAATGAAGCCAAGCAAGAAAACATTCTTTCTACCTTGTTTTCGCAAATCTCAGCAGTAACCATTTTATTTATAAGCTGTGTCATTCTATTTTCTTCCTTCTTTTTAAAATATAAGTTGATGGATCTCTGTGTGACTGCATTATGTGTATGTGTACAAATTCTCCCTGCCCTCCAGATAACCTAGTGGCATCATGCATGGTGAATGCAAAAGGTCATTACAAAGACAGAGGAAGAAGAAAAGACCAAGGTGGGTGTCAGAAGTGACTTTGAATATTGCATTAGGGCACTGAGAAGCCAAAGCAGTGGGAAGAAGTCAGGAAATAAAGGAGCTGAACAGAAAATTTCAAAAGGCAAGGCACAGCAAAGTATTACAACAAAATATGCAAAGCTGGAATTACAGAATCAGAAGGGATGCATTCTTTCAGCATTCCTTAAGCTGAAAGAACTGAAGAACAAATTCAAGCCTTAAATTGCAGTAGTTAGAGGTGCTAAGGGCAGAATATTGAATGATCCAAGAAGTATCAAAAGAAGATGGAAGGAGTACACAGAGTCACTGTATCAGAAAGAATTGGCTGACATGAATAATTTCATGAAACAGCATATAACCAAGACACAATGGTGATGAAGGAGGATGTTCAAGCTGCTTTGAAGCAACAGACAAAAAACAAGTCCCCAGGAATTGATGGAATACCACTTGGCATGTTTCAACAAATAGATACTGCCCTGGACATGCTCACTAAGTTGTGCCATGAAATCTGGAAGACAGTCCCCTGGCCTGACTGGAAGAGATCAATATTTATTCCCATTCTAAAAAAGAGTGATCTGACAGAGTGTAGAATATCTCATGTAAGCAGAATCTTGGTGAAGATTGTCCAAGATTGACTGGAACAGAGAACTACCAGAAGTACTGGGTGAGTTTAGAAGAAGCTATGGCACCGGGGACATCATTACCAATGCCGTGTTGATCTTGTCTGGAAAGCAGAGAGTACCAAAAAAAATGTCTGTCTCTTTCATTGACTACACAAAGGCATTTGACTGTGTGGATTACAGCAGATTGTAGCTAAATTTGAGAAGAATAGGCATCCAAGAACACTTGGTTGTGCCCATGTGAAACCTATACTTACTTGGACCAGAAAGCAGTCATCAGAACAGAGCAAGGAAACACTACATGATTCAAAATTAGGAAGGGAATATGTCAGGGGTGTGTCCTGTCTCCATACATTTTCAATCTCTATGTGGACCTCATCATTCAGGAGATTGATCTTTATGAGGAGTAATGTAGCATCAGATTTGGAAGAAAACTCATCAACATCTTGCATTATGCAGATGACACAACCTTGGTCACTGAAACTCAGGAGGACCTGAAGCATCTTTTGCACAAAGTCAAGGACTGTAGTCTTCAATATGGATTGAAGCTCAACATCAAGAAAACAAAGATTCTTACCACTGGGCCAATTGGCAGAACCATGATAGATGGAGAAATGAATGAGATTGTCAACAATTTCAGCTTGCTCGAGTCCACAAACAACACCATTGGAACCGGCAGCCATGAAATAAAAAGATCAAATGGATTAGGAAAGTCTACCATTATTGACCTCTTCAGAGTGTTGAAGTACAGAGATGTCAGTCTAGAGACTAAAGTGCACCCGATCCAGGCCATAGTCTTCACAGTTACTTGCTATGCATCAGAGACCTAGACAGTGAATAAGGATAACAGAAGAAGACTTGATGAATTTAAGCATTGGAGAGGGTGCTGAGTATCCCATGGAATGCCAAAACAGATATATCTTAGAGAAAGTGCAGCCAGAGTGCTCTTTGGAGGTAAAGATGATACTTTGCGTATGATGCTAGGAGAGGCTATTTGGGGAAGGACAGACATCATGCTTGGAAAGAGAGAGTCGATTAAAGGGAAGAAGACCCTCACTCAGGAGGGTTGACAATGACTGAAATGGACTCTAGTGTGTCTAGTGTCAGGATGGCACAGAATATAACAGGGCTCATATCTGCTGTTCATAGTGTCACTATGGGTCATACTCAGCGCCACCCAAAAACAACAACAACAACTTTTCCCAGCAAAACAATTTAAGCAAAATTCTGATGAAAAATTAAAACTATTGCTTGATAACCTTTTTTTTAAAAAGAAATTATCTTTTCATTAGCTGTATAATGCATTTTTATAAGCTGTGTAATGCTTTTTTGCGTGCCCTGGTTTGTTTTTCTTTCAAATATTACTGATTATTCACAAAATTGTTAAGAGATTTGTCTTGGCATTTAAAACAAAATAGTGGCCATGGTAAATGAATTTTGGCAAGCCGTTGTCATTTAAACTTTTAAAATTTTTTCATTATTTTTATTATTTTTTTTCTCCTTTCTTTTGTTCAATTCTGCATATATTTTTATTTAAAGTAGCTGTACCATTCAGAGGAACTTTGGACATGTTCTCCTTTCCTTTCCTTATTATCTTCCTATTTTATTGTTTTGTTACTGTTTTCCCCTTCTTACCTTCAGTCTACTCCATTCTCCCTTCCAATTTGCCATCTGTCTCTCATGCGCATATACTCACAGAGTAGTACTACTGAGGGCTCTGTAGTTTGAGTGTTGGTCTGGGGAATTTTTATTTTGCTTCCGTAGAAGATTTGGTAACTCTCTGTTGGTTGTTTCACAGTATATTAAACGCTACAATATGTTCCTGAGGCGGCGTCTCATGGTAAACACAGTGTTGAATGGTGCTGCTCATGCTTTGGACCGCTGCAGTGGTTCTGGGTCATTAACCTTCCAGTAAGGGCTGTTGTCAGGGCACTTCATCACTGATACCCAGTCCTTAGGCAATTACTTTAGTGTGTCTTGATTCATTTTTTCATCTGGTGGAAGCTGTAGATCCTCTTCCTGGACATGAACAAACACATGAGAAGTTTATCTACAAGTTGAGCAAGTTGTGGAACAACGTAACAAACCCAGATTTATGAAGTTGAGATTAGGAAACACTTTCAAACCAAATATACCAAGAAAAAAAAAAAGAAAATGAAACACATCACTATGGTGTCAGTCTCAACCCATATCAAAAACCTAGAGGACAGTTTAGAATTGCCTCACAGTTTTTAAAGTTATAATCATTGCAGAAGCAATTTGTCATGCATGTCTCCCATGGAGTGGATGGTAGGTTTGATCTCCAGCCAAGTGCTTAACCACTGCACTGCCTGGACTCCTTAACCAAACATAAACACTCACAAAGAGATAGACACACTTCAAAGGATAATTTTAATGTCTCACCTCTCACCAAATAAAATATGATGTATTTTAATTATATTCAGTTTTGAGTAACAACAGTATAGGGAGGTCTGGACACCTAGTGGTTAGAACGTGCGCTACAGTCTCAAATGCCTGTAATTTGAATCCGCCAGTTGCTCAGAAGGATGGGCAGTCTCCCCCTATGCAATTAACTGCCTCTGGAAACCCGCTGGAGGGTCAGCTGTGGGTCGGTTCTGATTCTGTAGTCCTCAAGGACAAAAAACCAAGAGCAGCAATTTTTAATAATCAGGTTTCTTTAGCAAAATACCAGGTTTTGTTTTGGACTTTTTGGTTGTAGCTCCCTTCTACAGTTCAGTACACAATAGTAATTATAAAAAGTAAAAGAAAATAAAGAAAAATTACTATCACAGACTTAGAGCAAATGGAATTTTGTTTCCTTCTCCAACTTAGTACTTTCACTTTATTTAGTCTAATGAGGATATTTTCTGCCTCAAATAATTTTCAAAGTTTTGGTTAATGTCGTAAGATTGGCTTATGCTATAGTTATTCTCAAGAATGCCAATGTTATATTCCTTTTTTCCCCCCTGTTTCTTTTTTAGTGTTTTATAATCAAGTGTAACATTATAGTTTGAGAGTTTTGTTTTTTGGGTTTTTTTAGGTTCATCTTTCCTTATTTAAGGGGAGGTGAACGTGTATTTTCTATTGAAATGCAGAGAACTCTGACATTAGAATTGAGTTACTATAGTTTACCACTTACAATGTTGACTCTGATGGTTTCTGTCTCTATCTAATATCTCCTGAGAAATGGAATTAGTCCTTTCTGAGAGATTTCAGTAATCACTCATATATAAAAATACTGTTGCTATGTCCATAGACAATAAAAAGGGAAACATTATCTTCTTCATGCAGGACTGATCTATACTAATTGTATTTTAAGGGAAACCATTCTAGCTGTTTAGAGAGAACATCCTCCTGTTGTGAAGTTCCTTCAATTTAGTTCCAACTATTAGTGACACCATGAACTACAGAATGAATAATTGCCCCATTCTGACAATGTTGCTGCTCAAACCCATGGGTGCAATCCCTATGTCAGTCTCTTTGAGAGTCTTCCTCTCCTTCACTACACCACTGATTTTCCAGGCAGGATGTCCTTTCCCAGGAACTGACCCCTCATGATACAGTGGCCACAGTGCATCTCACGATGAGGTCTCACCGTCCTTGCTTCTCAGGAACTCCCTGTCTGTACTTCCAAGAACGTAAAAAACTCATGTAAATACTGGCTAGGAATATGAATTCCACCCACCTCCCCATTGCCTGAAACAATTGGAAAGTTGTCTGTATTTTAACTTTGGATCACAAAGTGAGAGAAATCTCCTATATCATCTAGATGAAATATTCTGTATATTAGACAATGAACCATTACAATTATTACATTTTACATATATACACATTCTGAAGGCAACAGGATTAAGAAGATGAAGGCTCTTTCCTAACAGTATCTCATGTGCCTTTGTCATTTTAAAAGGGAAACTTGAACCTGTCCATTTCTCTGTTATACTGACAGAACTGATAACCAAATGCAAACAAAGTATTGATTTTAACTCCTCTGGGCAATTGATGCTGAAGGGCGTGTGGCATGTGCACTGACTTGGTGTGACACAGCTAGCAAGCTACCTGCTTTCTAATTTATAACTGCACGTTGGTTTTGGTTTTCCTTCAGAAATTGAATTAGAAAATGGAAATTTTAAGAGAACATAATAGAAATATTAATCATAAATGGATTTTCTTACAGTGTGGCTTTATTAATTAGTTGCTAATTACTTATGTCCATCAGAGCTTTATGTAATGGTAGAGTGTTTTGTCGACTTTAGGGTATGTTTAATGAGAGTAATGAAATCTCTTTTTAAATATACATTTTAGGATCAATGTATACATTTATTCACTTTATATTTTATATAATTGCAGCATTTTTATCGTATTTGCATGTAACCAATATGATTGTTTATATGCATGTAGACGCACAAACACACATCACCTGTGTGAGATTTTCATTTAGTAAATAAACATATTCTGTTGGTGAAAATTAACAATGGTTATCTGTCTTGACTTGATATTTTCAAATTGAAAATATTACCTGGTGGAAAATTATGAATGTTTTCATTTTTATGGTTAGAGAATAAAACTGAGTTTAAAGATTTTCATGCCTGTTTCCTGCAGTTTTCAAGAAGTCTGCAAAGCAAGGATTCAATCTTCTTCCGAGATGGTGTTCGACAGATTGATTTTGTGCTGTCCTATGTTGATGACTTAAGGAAAGAAGGAGACATAAAAGTGGTGAGTACTTAGTGAATGATTAAGAGGAATAATTAAAAAAGGACAACAACCACATTCTATAGTTAGAAATAGATACCCTCCAACTGAGTTAGTCCCAGAATCAGAGACCTCTGAACCAATAATGAAGCAAAAACAGTGAGAAGAGTACAGTATATACAACCTACGACTGAAATGTTTGGAGTTTGGGGTTGGTTTTTTTTAAACCTTTGGAAACCATTTTTCTCCTCCAAGTAGCAGATAAAATTTCTTACATAACTTTCTTTAAATATTAAATAGAACCATGAAATAGGAGGTGTCAGATTATTATCTTTATTTTATGCAGTTTTCATCTTGAAAATATACAATTACACTTCATCAAAAAGGACATTCAGATGGCAAACATGAAGAAATGTTCAAAATCCCTAGCAATTAAAAAGATGCAAATCAAAACAATTATGAGCTACCATCTCACCCCAGTACCAATGGCAAAGTTCAACAGGGCAGCAAACACCAAATGCTGGCAAGGTTGTGGAGAGATTGGACCTCTTATTCACTGCTGATGGGAATATAAAATGGTACATCCACTTGTGGAAGGCAGTCTGGTGCTTTCTCAGAAAGTTGGAAATAGAAATACTGTTTGACCCAGCAGTTTCACTACTGGGAATATACCCTAAAGAAACCAGAGCTTCCACCCAAGCAGATATATACACATCCATGTTCATTGCTACACATTATTCACAATAGCAAAGAGATGGAGGCAACCCAAGTGCCCATAAATAAATGAATAGAAAAACTATGGTATATTCACACAATGGAATACTACACAGCACTGATGCTCATAAAATATTACACAACGTGGGTGACCCTAGAGGACATTATGTTGACTAAATATCTCAGTTACAAAAGGACAAATACTATATATCAGGACTGACAAGGGAGTTGGTGGGGGAACTAAGAAAAGAGGGGATATATAAAGAGCACTTCATTGGAACAGATGAAGAAAAAAACGGTTTAAAAGGAATATATGATTAATCATTATTTGTGTGACAACAGTCCAGAATAAGAGATGCATAGCAAAGTGAAGCAGGAGGGGGCAAAGGAGGAAATTATACAACAATGAATGAATTTTTTTTTTTCTGTCAACTTGGTTGGGGCGTAGGAAGGAAAATGTGCCATCATGAATGAATAAAAACCAACTTTTCTGTAAATTTTCATTAAAATCATAATATAAAAGGAAAATTTACAACTAATCCATCTGATTTGAAATAGCCTTCACATATAAAAAACATAATTTTCTGAACTTATAATATTGATTTCATTTCTTCATTCTGTGTCTCTTTTAGCATACATTAAGTTACAGGAGGCTAAGGACTTTGTTGTCCTTGTTCATTGCTTTCTACCTAAGTCCCCAAGAGAGTAGTTTGAACATAGTGACTCCTTTGGAAATGCTAGACATTTGAAATCATATGTTAATTAATGAATTTAAACCCACATCCATACATGCATTTGATTATATATTCACATCTGATATAAATGCCATGAAGAATTTATAAAAGTAACTTTAGATATTATCCTCAGTAGAGTGTGCACGTGTCCCTTCTGTCCCTTCCTTCTGCCTCAGAAAATCTTTCTACTGAAACTCTGTAATTTATGGTCCATCATCATCTTTCCTCCTCTCATTGTCTTTTTCAAACCTGATTCTTCTCGGAGGTTTGTTGCTTCCCTTCATACCTCCGTAAAGAGTGGTTTCTTTTTCCATACACTACCTTTTCCTGGAAATAGGTATATTCTCATCCGTCATGAATCTTATTGTTTATTACAATCCCTCTTTCCTCCTCAAATTCTTGACTTTTAAGTCTCATTTTATCAGAACTTCACTACGGTGCATCGTTGTAATCTTGTGAATCCCCGTGTCTTTTATTTCTATGTAACCTATATTACAGCTCCTAAATCACTGTTACCCCCTCATCTGTACTCCTTTCTTTACTTATATAATTTCAGTCTATTAGATGGATGAATATATTGATGCTCTGGCATCTCTTTTATGTGAATTCCCTGGTTTGAAATATTTTAGCTTCTAACTCAAGTCAGTAATTTTCTTCTTTCAAAACTTGTTAGTAATACTTGTTAGTGAAACTAGTGTGAACCACATGAAGGCATCAGTTATTCCACAGTGGGGACAGATCCCCATCAACAACGGCACATAGTTTGTTCCTGTAAGGTCAGACATGTTCCCAGCGTACCACAACTTCTGTCAAATTGTAACTCAGCTGTCCCCTACCACTGCTCTTGCTACTCTTTTACTGGGTTTGATAATTCATTGCAGTAGCCACCCAGAACACTCAGACAACACTCAAAATTACTGGGTTTTATCAGGGAAGAAACTGATTACAGTTGGGTTTGGAAAGCCTTCCATTCTAGGAGAGAATTCTTCAGTCAGGACAGCTTCTTCTCATGCAGGCCTCTCTCTGATCCTTGGTGTGATGACTTTGGGCCATGCTACATGCTCGGGCAAGTATTACAAAGTTCTTTTGGTTCTGTCAGTGATGTGTCCCCTCTTCTCCAGCTCCAACAGTAGGCCTCGGTCGGTATGCTTATCTCTTCTTCCGTGGGCCAGTAGATCTGACTTAGCCCTGTCTTCCTTTGCTTCTCACCTACTTTTGGTGCCGCCACCACTGCTGCTGCTGCTATTGCCATTACTGCTGTATTTAAGCTGCCATATCTGTCTCAGTCTTTTTCCTCCTTGCATAGGAATCGCTAGCTCAAAAGATGTGCCGCATTCTCTGCTTCTTTGTTCTTGATGCTAATAACATTCCTTCATTCCTTTTTTTTAATCTCAGAACTGTTACAGTTTAAGCTTGCCAAGATTGTTAAGCTGACCAATCTTCTCATTAGTGATCTACATACCTTATTTTCATGTCCCTACCCAAAAATATCTATTCCCTTTATTTATATCCATTTCCCTTGGTGGGTCACAAATGCCCACGTTTTATAGTTCTGTCATGTAGTGAAAGTTAAAACGAATGGCTAGAAAATCCACCTAGAATAACTCACTATAAGATACAGCTGCAGCCCATTTATACTCTCATTTCATCCTTATCTTTTTGGGAAACTGCATTAATATAACACTTACAGTCCCAATTGAACCTTCAATACAAGTATCATTTCATCTGTAAAAGGAGCAGTGGTAACATGGGGAAAGCCAAGCCTGACTTCTTCCCGCTTCATAATGGTTAACTGTACCCATCAGTAACATCCATAGCACCATACAAATAGCTACCTGGTCAAACATACTACGCCACATGCTCCTGAAAATCTTTGGGTCCACTGTTTGTTTTAACTTGAGTTACAAAAACTTTACTCACAAAAAAAAACCCCAATCAACCAAATTTTACTCACATTTGTGGGGTTTATTAGGGAAATGAGTTGGGGAGTGGGAGGAGACAAAGAATATCACACAATGCAAGCCCAGGTTAGTCCAGACACAATTCCTCATTTAGTGAAAATCCTGGTTTAATTCAGTAGCACAAATGCAAGAAGCTCTGGTTTCCTCAGTCATCCAGCAAACTTTATCTCAGAGCAGTTACAAGTGAGCTTTTCCTTCAGTCATCCAGCAAGCAAAACTGGTTGCTCCATGTCCAGAGTTCATCTCGTTACACTTTGTCACAGTCTCTTCACAGCAGTGCCACAATCTCTTTATTCTCTCTCCACCACTGTCTCACAATGTGGAAATTGCTCTCTTGTATTGGTCCCACAGCTGTTGAAGTCCGCAGTTAAGATAGCTGGAGACTATGCCCCCAACAAGGGCTAACGCAATGGCTAGAAAAGCCAGTTTTCAAGGTTTATGATCCCACACCACCTTTTCATTACTTCTTATCATCCTCTTTCTGGTTTTTATTGTTGTTATTGTTGTTGTTAGGTGCTGTATAGTTGGCCCCTGATTCATTAGAAAAAATGGACTAAAACAGCCGTTATATAATGAATGAATATCAAAGGACAGGATCAAGAAAAGAATTGTGCATATTTACATTTGTTTTTCCATAGGATAGAAGAAGAGAATTTGAAATAAATCTCAAAAAAACGGGCCTTGAGTTGGAGACTGAAGACAAAAGGGTAAATATAATTGTTAATTTATACAAGACACTTGGTTTTATAATGTTTATTCCATATGACTTTTGGCATGATTGAGTTTGTGGCTAGGGAAATTCAGTAGTTCTTTGGATAGCAGATATGTATGTCTGCTTTAGATAGTTAAGGCTCTGGTCTTCCATGTAAGAATGTCATTGCCCTGATTGTGAGATGGTTACTGGAAAACTTTGGAAATGAAAACTAAAACCAAACCCACTGTTGTGAATTTGATTCAAGCTTGTTAAGACCCTTCCATGTGGTTTCCTGATCTGTACATCTTTACAGGAGATTGTCCATCATTCTCCTAAAGTTTGACACCAACACTGGCCTGACACCTAACATAAACCACCACCAAAGTTCCTTACTTTAAAACTAGATGCATATAATGTCTAACTGAAGATACTGTTTTTACTTCACATATGTCTCATTTGAAGTCTGCCTACGGTCTTACACCCAACCTAGTCACCCTGAATAACTTGAAGCATAACCTGCTGTTTAAACCAGGGCACTGTTTCTTTTGCACTAACATGTCAGGTTCTTTCTAAGTGGGTGGTTTTTTGTTTGGTTTTTTTTTACCTTCTGCAATTTGCTGCTTTTCTAGAATTCCGTCTTATGTTGTTGGGTTTGTTTTTTGTTTTTTTTTAAAAAAATGCAGTTTCATAGAATCATAATGGACTCCAGTGCTTCTAGCAGCAACACTATATATATTTAAAAAAATCACAGTGTCTTTTTATTTTCGTTATTTTATTTTTATTTTCATTATTTCAAAAGAAAACTCCTAGATCTTTGTGTACATTTATTTCTCTCACTTTTCATGCAAGGGAACTTGGTTTTTAAAAGAAACAAAGGAGAAAAGCAAAGTTGGTTTACAGCCTTGAAAATCTGATGAATCAAAACCAACTTGAAACTTAATGGGTTTGATTTGGTGTATATATTGCAACTCATATATGTTTTTGTTGTTATGTTCTGTCGAGTCGCCTGTGACTCTATGTACAGCAGCCCTAAACTCTGCTCTATACCTTGTCAATCATATTGTCTCCGACACACCTATCCCCATTACTCCAGTCATTGAATCAATCCATCGCATTGAGGGTCTTCCTCTCCTGTGCTGTCCCTCTACCCTCCTGAGCATGACGTCCCTCTCCAAGGACTGATCCTGCCTTGCAGTATGTCCAAAGTATGTCAGGAAAATCTTCAGAATCCTTGCCTCCAAGGAGCAGCCTGTCTTCACTCTCTCCAGGACAAACTTGTTTGTTCTCTTAGCTATACATGGTATCCTCAATACTCCTCTCCAGCACCACAATGCAAAGTCATCAACTTTCCTCTCTCATCCCTAGTCATTTCCCAGTTCTTTGATGCATAGCAAGTCATTGCAAAGACCATAGCATGTATCAGGTGCATCTTATTCTCCAGACTGACATCATTGCTCTTCAGTACTTTAGAAAGGTCTCTGGCAGCACACTTTCCCAGTGCAATTTGTCTTTTAATTTCCTGGCTGCTGGTACATTTGGTTTTCTGTATGAGTACTCATATATATAAGTACTATACCATACATGGTGTTGCTGCTGATTGCCATTGAATCGAGCATGACTCATGATGACCTGATGAACAAAAAATCTGAAGCCTTTCTATAACTATTGTCGTTTCTCAAAGTTCACAGTTTCCAGAGGCACATTGTTTAGGAAGTGGATGCCACTCCTGCTTCCAAACCTGTCTTAAATTATGTGTGTGTGTGTGTGTGTGTGTGTGTGTGTGTGTGTGTGTGTGTGTGTGTGTGTATGTATTTGCACATATGTATATGTGTGTGTGTATATTTATATATGCGCTTATATTTTAAGAGTTGTTTTTCTAAACATTTTACTGAGCAAAATCAGTAACTCCAAAGTGCTGGGTTATGTTTCATTTGAGATTTTATAAAATTTTATTTACTTTCATAACTCAGTATGAGTAAAATTTTTCTTACACGGTATGATTAAATTTTTCATAACCTTGTTTCCTTTCATGCAGGACTCTGAAGATGGAAAAACTTACTTTGTCAAGATCCATGCCCCTTGGGAGGTATTAATTACCTATGCAGAAGTGCTGGGAATGAAAATGCCTATTAAGGAGAGTGATATTCCCCCACCTGATCGAAACCCTTTTAGCTTTATGCTTGGGCCTCTGAAACTTGAAAAGTCTGTGAAGCATCCTCATCCTGAATATTTTACTGCACAATTCACACGACATCGGCAGGAGCTCTTTCTCATTGAAGATGAGGCATCCTTCTTTCCATCCTCAGCAAGAAACAGAATTGTAGGTAGAGAAGACCTTTGTATCTATCCCTTCAAGTAAGGGGTGTGTACCTGTTTGTGCTTTTGTACATATGCATGAGTGATACCTTGTCTGTAGGATGTTTTTTAGTAGATGTTACTAAATGTTTCATTAGGTACAGTCCTGAAAGTCATTTCGATTACTTAAACCTAACTACCGCTCCCAACCATTCGCCTATCAACTTGTCCTGCTATGGTGGCTTAAATGTGCTGTGATGCTAGAAGTTACACGACCTGTATTTCAGTACTAGAGGGCCTCCCATGATGAACAGGTTTCATTGGATCTTCCAGATGAATACAGACGAGAAAGCAGGCTTGACAATCCATTTCTGAAGTTGTTGTTGTCCTTAAGTGCCATTAAGTCAATTACCACCCATCGTGATCCTATGAAGAACGGATCTGAATCTTGCCTTATCTGGTGCCATCCTTATCATCTCTGTTACTCAAGATCATTGTGGTGGGCAGTGTACCAGCCCATCCCATTGAAGGTCTTCCTTTCTTTTGCTGACCCTTTTCCTTTCTCTGCATGATGTCTCTCTCTAAGAAATGGTTCTAACTGAAAATATGACCAAAGTGAATTACCCAAAGTTGCTCCATCTTTGCCTCTGGGGAACGTTCTGGTTACAATTCCTTCAGGACAGTTCTATGGCCTTCAATACTTAGCCAATAGCACAATTAAAAGGCATACTTCATCCCTCATCCTTATTTATTGTCCAACTTTCACATGTCTAGGGAGCAATCAACAATACTATGCCTTGGATCAGTGCTCCTTAATCTTTAAACTGATCTCATTGCTCTTTGGAATTTTGGAGAGGACCTTGACAGCAGATGTTCCAATTGCAACAAAATCTTTTGATTTCTTGACTGCTGCTGTCCTGAGTGATGATTGTGGATTCAAGAAAAATGAAATCATTGACAACTTAATTCTTTTCACATGTGTAACAGGCAGAAAGATGAAAACAATTCAAGCCTTGAGTTGAAATAATGAAAGTTTCTAAGAGTAGATTTTCAAACCAAATCATAGCTGACCTGCTAGCAAGTTTTCATAGGTTGTACATCACGTGGGAGGAGATTGCCCATTTTTCTCACATGGAGCAGCTGGTGTACTTGAACCACCTGCCTCTGAGTTGGCAGTGAAACTCCTTACCCACTAGACCACGAGATCTCCCTATCAGATGTCATTGAAAGTATAAGATGGAGGATGAAAGAATACATAGAGTCACTGTACCAAAGAGAAAGGATCAGTGTCCAGTCATTTCAGAACCAATAGTACTGAAAGAAGCCCACAGTGTGATAAAGGCATTGTTGTTATATGTTGTCAAGTCGCTTGTAACTCATAGTGACCCTGTGTACGAGAGCCCTAAACCCTGCTCTATCTTGTGTCTCTGACATACCTGCTTCCACTACCCCAATCATTGGATTTATCCATCGCAT